CGTATTCAAATTGATCCTACTAATGCTACACGGGCATTTTAGTCTTGGACAAACTTCATGATCCAATATATCCTCAATTCATCTTGCTTGTATATAGCCAGAAATAATTAAATTAAAAATAAAAATAACAAAATCTATCTTTCCTTTTTAAAATTTGTTTGTTAAGAGACAGGGCCTTGCTCTGTCACCCAGGCTGGAATACAGTCATACTACCATGGCCAACGCTGGGCTCAAGCAATCCTCCCACCTGGCCTCCCAAGTAGCTAGGACAACAGATGTGCACCACACCCAGTTAATTCTTTTTTAAAAAAACTTTTTTTTAGGGATAGGGTCTTGCTATGTTGCTCAAGTTGGTCTCAAACTCCTGGGCTCCAAATATCCGCCCATGTCAGCCTCCCAAAGTGTTGGGATTATAGGCACGAGCCAGCACGTCCAGCTTATCTCAATTTCTTATTGCTTGCAGAAAAACTCTTGCCTAAGGACAAACTAATGAAAATGAAATCAATTCCAGCTAAAAAATACAGATTTATTGTGCTTAAAATAAAGCGATCTGAAGCAAATAATGTGATTCAGTGAGAGAAACCTACAGAGTTTCACTTAACAGGTGCTTCTGCTCTGCAAACTAAATCTAAATATTTTTAATTTGATTTTTTAATTGACACATAATTGTATATATTTATTGGTATATAGTGATGTTTTGATATATGCAAGGTATAATAATCAGATTAGGGTAATTAGCATAGTTATCATTTCAAACATTTGTCTTTTTTTCTGTTGGCAACATTCAATAGCCTCCTTCTAGCTATTTGAAACTATGTATTACTGTTAACAATAGTCACCCTATAGTGTTGTAGAACACTAGAACTTATTCTTCCTATCTAGCTGTAATTTTGTATCCTTTAGCAAATCTCTCCCTATTCTCCTTTCCCCCTACACTTCACAGCCTCTAGTTATCTTCTGTTCTATTTTTTACTTCCGTGAGATGAACTTTTTCTAGCTTCCACATATGAGTGAGAATACGGTGTTTAACTCTCTGTTTGTTCCTGGCTTATTTCACTTAACATAATGTCCTCTAGTTCCATCCATGTTGCTGCAAATAACAGGATATATCATTCTTTTTTTGTGGCTGAATAGTATTCCATTGTGTATATATACCACATTTTCTCTATTCACCCGTTGGACTTGTGGGTTGATTCCATATTTTGGCTGTTGTGAATAGTACTGCAATAAACATGGGGGTGCAGATGTCTCTTCTCATACTGATTTCCTTTCCTTTGGATAAATGCCCAGTAATGGGATTGCTGGATCATACAGTAGTTCTATTTCTAGTTTTTTGAGAAACCTCCATACTGTTCTCAGTGGTAGCTCTACTAGTTTACATTCCTGCAAGGACAGAAGAGTTTCCTTTTCTCTGCATCCTCATCAGCATTTGCTATTTTTTGTCTTTTTGATAATAGTCATCCTAACTGGGGTGAAATAATACCTCATTGTGGTTTTGATTTGCATTTCCCTGATGCTTAGTGATGTTGAGCATTTCCTTATATATTTCTTGGCCATTTATATGTCTTCTATTGAGAAATGTCTGTTCAGATCAATTGCCCATTTTTAAACTGGATTGTTTGTTTGCTGTTGAGATGTTTGAGTTCCTTGTATATCCTAGTAGATCCAAATTTTTGATGTGATATGACATCTGACAAAGCCACAACAGTAAAGGAAGTGCCTCATCCCTATCCAAAGATATTCAGAGGAAAGAAAAAGGATGGTGAAAGCGAGCATTCGAGTGAAAACTTATCACACCAAGAATGAGGATAAGCAAATCTCCAAATTCAACTGGAAACAGAAATGGCTGAAATTAGAGCAGGAACAAATAAAATTTTAAAAAATATTGAAAGATACCAATTTGTAAAGAAAATGTAAAATGTTGATGGCTGACATTTCAAAGTAGATATAAAAATCATGCTCTTGGAAAGGGCTGATACTCAAAACTTCTTCAAAGTAGGCCAGGTGCGGTGGCTCATGCCTGTAATCCCAACACTTTGGGAGGCCGAGGTAGGCAGATTACCTGATGTCAAGAGTTTGAGACCAGCCTGACCAACATGGAGAAACCCTATCTCTACTAAAAATACAAAATTAGCCAGGCATGGTGATGCATGCCTGTAATGCCAGCTACTTGGGAGGCTGAGTCAGGAGAATCACTGGAACTCCCAGCTACTTGGGAGGTGGAGGTTGCGGTGAGCTGAGATTGAGCCATTGTACTTCAGCCTGGGCAACAAGAGCGAAACTCCATCTCAAAAAACAAACAAACAAACAAAAAAAACTTCTTCAAAGTAAGTTAAATATAAATAGTACAGAAATCGGGTCGGGGAAAGGGGAGGAGGAGGAAAAGGCAGAGTTAGTTTACGATTGTGCAAGCTATGGAGGAAGACTGGGTTCCAGCTCTGCCATTTAGTAACTGTGATTTTGGCAGATGTCTTAATCTCTGCATCTCAGTGTTCTCATCTATAAAATGGGAATAATAGAATTTACTCATAAGGTTGTTGTTAGCATTTTATTAGCTAATATATAAAGAGTGCTTATGCAGTACCAGCATATAAGGGCACTATATGGTATTATACTTCTAAATACAATATAAAGATTAACAATGATAACATTTAATCAAAAAATCAAGAAGAAATCTGACACAGATCTACAATCCCTTATCCAAAATCCTTGGGAACACATGTGCTTCTGGACTTTTTAACATTTTAGTGTATAATACATTGTATTATCTATATTTTACTTAATACATAGCAACCTTTAGTCAAACACACTAATGTTTCTATAATGAAATGTATCAGTAGTCACACTAAATGGAATAAACGATAATTTTTTTTTTTTTGAGACAGAGTCTCACTCTGTCACCCAGACTGGAGTGCAGTGGCCTGATCTTGGCTCACTGCAACCTCTGCCTCCAAGGTTCAAGTGATTCTCGTGCCTCAGCCTCCCAAGTAGCTGGGACCACAAGCATCTGCCACCATACCCAGCTAATTTTTGTATTTTTAGGAGAGATGGGTTTTCGCCATGTTGGCCAGGCAGGTCTCAAACTCCTGGCCTCAAGTGATTCTCCTGCCTTGGTCTCCCAAAGTGCTAGGATTATAGGGTTGAGACACTGTACCTGGCCCATAAGGATAATTTTAAATAGATTCATGTCAGTTCAGATTTTGCCACTAAATGATTTTTTTTAATATTTTGGAATTACAGATAAGGAATTGTGAAGCTGTATCTGTACAGCCATAAATCATATTAAATAATAGAATAATCATTAAGAGAAATATAGAGCAATGATATTAAATGAAAACTTTTCTGAAAACCTAGTGAGTACCCAGAAAACCTAATGAGTTTATTTTTCACTTAAGAAAAAACAAAAAATGTATATATAATTATCATACAGGATGTTACTTGGCTTACACTTGGATGACTTTTTTGTGACATAAATTGTTCACAATGCCTGCCTGGAATATCTCACTAAATGTTCCCATGACTGACTATTTCAGATCTCTGTTCAAATGTTACTTCTTCAGAGAGGCTTCCTTAATCACTCTATTCAAAATACTGGGTGAGCAGCATGCATGGACACTTTCACACACAATCACACAGAAACTCTCCTTACCCGTATTTATTTTCTTCTTCTTTTAGCATTTATTGTTATCTAGCATTGTACATTTGTTTATTATCTGTCTTACATAGACTGGAAACTCTATGACAGTAAAACTTCATTTTCTTTAAGCATCTAGAACAATATCTGGTAAACAGACATTTGATAAATATTGTTCAAAATATGACCCAAGAAAATAAGGCTGACTGAAAAATAACAAAGGATTCCAAGAACTAGTCCTGACATAGCAGGTCATACCTACTTTCCAGAAGTTCAAGGCCAGAAAAAAAAAGCCATCTAAACACCAACTGTAATATGTTTATGTAACATGTCTATTTTTATAGTAATATAAAAAAATCTCTTCATCATACATATACTTAAGTAAATAATTATTTCCTAGCTATGAAATAAAAGCTAATTATTACATTTACTTTATCTTAAATTTTATTTTTTATTGATACAAAATACTTGTACATATTTTGGGGATACATGTAACAATTTAATACATTCATATAATCTGTAAAAATCAAATCAGTGTAATGGGATATCTATCATCTTCAATTTTTGCCTTATGTTATTTGAATTATTCTCTTTTAGCTATTTTGAAATATACAATGATTATTAAACTATAGTCACCCTACTGATTTATCAAATACTGTCATATCTTCTATCAAATTGTATATTTGATTCCATTAATCAACCTCTCTTCATCTCTCCTCTCCTCTCCCCTTCTCAACCTCTAGTAACCACCAATCTACTATCTATCTTCATGAGATCAGTGCTGGGATTACAAGAATGAGCCATTCGCCCAGCCAGGATTTCATTCTTTTTTTATGGCTGAATAATATTCCATTGCATATAAATCATATTTTCTTTCACCGTTCATCCACTAATGAGCACTTAGGTTGATTCCATATATTGGTTATTTCAATAGGGCTTCAATAAACATGGGACTGCAGCTATCTCCTCTTTGCTATGCTGATTTCCTTTCTTTTGAATATATACCCACTAGTGTAACCGCTGGATCATATGGTAGTGCTAGTTTTAGTATTCTGAGGCACTTCCATACAGTTTTCCTTAGTGGCTGTACTAATTTACATTCCCACCAACAATGTATGAGGGTTCCCCATTCTCCACATCCTTACCAGTATTCGTTATTCCCTGGTTTTTTTTTGTTTTGTTTTTTGGTTTTTGGTTTTTGAAAAAAGCTATTTTAACTGGGATGAGATGCTATCTCACTGCAGTTATATTTACATTTAATAATTAATTTTCAGTATTTTGTTTGAGTAAGTAGACAAGAAAAAATATGGTCAAAAGATAAAAATGATTACTATAACACAAAATATTAAAGAAATAACTGACTTTATATTTTTCACTTGGAGTACTGTCTGGATTTTTTTCTCCTGACACATTTTAATCATCACGAAAAGAAATCCCATTGACCTTCATCTAATTGCAAAACGCTACTGCATTAGGTTATAAAAATGGCCTGGATTAGCCTCAGAAGGCAATAGTGTCTGGTTGTACATATGTATAGCAACACATTGCATTTAAAAGTAAGCAAGCAAAGGAGTTTTACAGTCACCATAAAATATGCAACAAAGTTCAGTAGTGCTATGCAGTTCTTTGGAAATGCCCAGCTTTCTTCTCCATCGCTAAGTTCATCCATTTGTTAGTTCTGACATCTGAATTACATTTAAAAACAAGGAAAGAAAATAAAGGTGCAAATAAGAATTTAGGTCACATTCTTTGCAAAAGTATCAAGGATAACTACCATTTTCAAATTGTCATCCTTGTAGCCTACAAATTTACATTTTGCTGATTATGGTAAATGTAAGACAACAGTATCATTTCAACATCTATTACTTCTACTTTGGCATTTTATTCTTGTCATTACTTTAAAATGATAATGAAAAATATGCTCCAACATTACTTAATTAATGACTTTCAAACTGTTATTCCAGATTCTGTCAGGATTTTCTGTGAGAATTACTTGGGGGAAAAAAGGTAATTGAGATTGTATAGATTTTCTATAGGAAGAGAAATACTTGGAATAAAACAAATTAGCACACATATCTCACTCAGGTGTTGTTAACCAGTGAAATGATTCTAGAGGAGGAGGAGGAGATGGGTCAAAAAGATGAAGGGCAACAACTGATACCAAAAAAGATCAGAGATTCAGAGTTACATAAAATTTGACAAATGAGATCAAGTTTAAATATTACTGGTCCCTTTCCTCTCAAGTTGCATATTATTGTTTAGTGAGTTTCATCCGGATAAAAACATGTTGGTGGTGGTATAGTTAGGAGGATGAGGAATGATTTACCCCAGCGGTTATGCTTACCTGTTTATAAAAACCAATTCAATATCACGTTAGCATTTAAGGAGTAAACGAAAGGATTCACTTTAATAATTCCAACATCAGCATAGAAAAAGCTGTCCTTGCTTAAAGCAAAAATTCAAGATTGCTACTATAGTCTGTTTCAGCGCGAATATGAACTCTACAAGTCTTACGCTTCTGACCCTTGTCTTCAAGTCCCTAAACTGGAATAAAACCAGATAAATGCCTGAAGAACCACTTCGCACCCTAAACACGTGCAAACTTTGTTCAACAGAACACTTTGCTGCCAAAATGGAGTTGGCAGAAGTTTGGAGCAAAGGCCCTCAGGCTGCACGATTTGTTGGCAACAGAGAGCTTAAAATTCTTAACATAATACTGCGGAGTTTGAGTACTACCAATTTGCTTGAGACTCCTCCTCCAAGTTTGACTTGAGAAAGATGGAAGCTGCCATGAAGAAAGACTATTAACACTTCATCCTCTATCCAGAAGTACTTTTATTTCTCATTCCTGATTTTCATACCTCTATATTACTTGGTGGTTGCATTTCCACAGTAAATCAAACGGAGTCTACTTCGAAATGCATATAAATTCAATTGTATTGGGTTGCTTGGATAAAGGGACACAGGGAGAACTATAAATAAAATTAATTATGATAAAGTTCTACTTAGAAAACACTTGATCCAAATAACCCCTATATATCACAATTTCTTACCATAAAAATGTAAAAGAAATTAAGATATAGAATTACCTGTAAATTGCTATCATTTTACATTTGGTTCAGCTTGCCTTCTCACTTCCGTAAGTCTGAGCGATGGTAGTTTATCTTGTATGTGAACAATTTAGGAAAGCCAGGAAAGAAGCCAAGTGGAGTTCTCTTCAACAAGGGTCAACAATAAAGTCCTATTTGGAATCTTCATAAGCTTGGTGCTGTTAATTAGGAAAAACCGCATCTGAATTTTAAAATTACAATTGCGTACAGGCAACTATGTAACTCACAAATTCAAACTTGTAAATGCTTGATAAATACGCAGCACTGAGAAAGGATGGTTTGTTTCGAAGGTTATCTTGTCCTAAGGTTCAATGAAAGACCAGATTTAAAGATGTTATTTGCTTCTCATACACCTAAAAAGCTTTTTTTCTTGAAACTTTCCAACGTTTTCCCTCCATAGCTCCACGTATTTTAGTAATGTCTTTGATAGCTTTTCTGTTTCGCCTCCTCTCGAACCGCCTTTTTGTAATTCTCAGCTCTGATTTTATATCATAAAGTCACCGGCTTCTAGCCGGGCATGGTGGCGCATGTCGGTTAATCCCAGCTACTCGGGAGGCTGAGGTAGGAGAATCGCTTGAACCCAGGAGGCGGAGGTTGCGGTGAGCGGAGAACGCGCCGTTGCACTCCAGCCTGCGCAAAAAGGGCGAAACTCCGTCTCAAAAATAAGAAGAAAAAAATCACCGGCTTCTAATCTCCATAATACAGTTGGAAACACTTCGGACAGAATATCCTTTAGGATAAGCTGCAGAAGACTGTACTTTGAAGGATATTTACATAGTAGTGCTGCCACCTAAAGATGAGGTGAATAAAAAAGCAATTCAAAGGAAATAACCTAACACCCTTAAGCCAGTCTCATTTTCTCACCTCCAGCTAGGAATAAGCGTGTTGTTGCCGCTGTTGTTGTTGTTGTTAATACGCGAGTTGAACTGTTTCGCGATAACTTATTGCGGAGCTGTAATTCTCTGCGTCAGAAAATTTCAGACTCAAACCTTTTCTACTCCTCTGCAATTCTTCTCAGCCATCAGGCACTGCCTACAATATATAAGAGCGGGTAGCAAAAGATACTTGGAAGGGAGAAGCATCCCAGCAACCCCACCACGGCCGGTCTTCCCGGACACCATGAACCACACTGTCCAAACCTTCTTCACTCCTGCCAGCACCGACCGTCCCCCAAACTATGAGATGCTGAAGGAGGAGCATGAGGTGGCTGCGCTGGGGGTGTCCCACAACCCTGCACCCCCGACATCCACCGTGATCCACATCCGAAGCGAGACCTCCGTGCCCGACCATGTTGTCTGGTCCCTGTTCAATACCCTCTTCATGAACTCCTGCTGCCTGGGCTTCATAGCGTTCGCCTACTCCGTGAAGTCTAGGGACAGGAAGATGGTTGGCGACCTGACCGGGGCCCAGGCCTACGCCTCCACTGCCTGAACATCTGGGCCCTGATTTTGGGCATCATCACGACCATTCTGATGATCATCATCCCAATCCTGATTCTGCAAGCCTATCAGTAGATCCAGAGGAATCACCCGGGCCAGGGGCTCTGCCCGTGACCTGTCTCCCTAGTATCCAGATTCCGTCCCTCGCCCTGCCCACGGCCCATCCTGTATCAACCTTTTACCCTCACACACTTTTCTACAGTGGTTCAATAAAGCGCACGTGCTCCTGGAAAAAAAAAAAAAAAAGATACTTGGAAGGAAACAATTGAGAGATTTCTGGTTTAGTGGATAAAGCAGGCAATAATAGACCTTAGACTCTTCCCTCCATCAGTGACCGACTCGTCGCAACGCTGAACAACTGACTTACATTTCGATAACTCAGTTTTCATCTGTAAAATGGGATTAATTACACCTTACTCCCACTTGTCTCGCACCCTCAATTAGATATAATTCTTGGAAAAGATCCTCTAAGAAGTAAGTTTAAAAGTCTACTATTGCCTAATAAAGGGACATTTTGTTGTGCATTTGCAAAGTAACTTTAAAACAAAATACACTAAGTTAAATAGGTTGAGGCAATGAATGAGTTTTCCTAAATCACAGTTTGTCTTCTCGGAGGTCTATTTAAATAATTAGATAAAGATTATAAAGGCAGTTCCTATTTATTTTGCAGCAGTTATTAGCGGACCCACGTTCCATCTATGTTAACTCAGTGTTGCAGGATGGAGACGTGCCAGCACAGGCGGCGAGGAAAACCGTTACCGTGCGCCCAAAATCCTGTCCAACTTGATACGATTTCAAGAAGACTGTCTTAAAGACTGGAAGTCTTTAAGACCATGTGAAACACATTTTATAATTCTACATTTTGTCCTTGCATAGCAATTTATGAAAACTAACTTTTACTCTTTCCCCCTCGGCTCAAGGAAGTCGCATTCCCTCAAAGGGGCCCCGGCTTCAATATATTACACTGCGTGGGCGGCTGGGCAGCAACCCCACGCTTCCTGTCAAGGATTCCTGGGGCCAGAGCCTGAAAAGTGGTCTAGCCTCTCTGCTTCACGCCAATTCTGTCCTTCCAACCCCTCTCGGCGGGTGTCTGAAGGCCAAGGTGAGACCCTCCCGGGAGATGAAAGGCCTATTGCCTCCTCAGAGACCCGAGCGGAGTTGGGGCGGGGGTGCGGCGTGATCCGGTGGCAGCGGCAGCGGCAGCCGCAACGACGCACAGGGCCCTAAGTTGGAGCTGGCGCAGGCCCTTCAGGGTTCTATCCCCGCCTGAGGCTGGCTTCGGCCTTCAGAAGCCCAACGAGGAATAAGTTCTCTGTGGGCGCTACGGACGGTGGGGGAAGAAGTGTGGGTGGAGAGGCCACAAACAGCCCCCTCCTCAGTCGCGCCCCAAGGCCTGTGCCGCGGAATGTTGACGCGCCAACAGCCGAGAGGGCGCGCTCACGCGCGAGATGGGGGCGGGAAGAGCGCGCTCAGCGGCCGCCGCGGCGGCAGCGAAAACGGAGGGACGCGAGAGCGGAGAGCGCGAGCCGCGGAGTGGGGAGGAGGGGTGGGGAACGCGGTGCGCGCGCTGACGTCGCCCGGAGTCACGCACGGAGCGCCGGGTTACGCGCCGACGTCTGGCTGCCACGACTTGCCGTCTGCGGCGGCGGCGGCGGCGGCGGCGGCGGCGGCGAGCGGATCCCGCAGGGAAGGAGGAGGAGGAGGGAGAGCCAAGGGGGCTGTGAGTGAGCGGGAGAAGCAGGGTGTGAGCCGGACTTGCCCGCGGGAGGGAGAGCGAGCGAGAGCCGAGCCTGCCAACAGAGCCGCCTCCTCCTCCTCCCCTCGGCGTCCCGCCCCCGCCTGCCAGCCCGCCCTCTTCCCTCCTCAGCCCGCAGAGCCCAAGTGAGGCGCAGCTCGGCTAGCGCCGCTGTCCAGGACAGGTGTGCGCGCGCGCGCCCTCCTCCCCTCCCCCCTTCCTCGCGCCTGCCTTGCGCGCGTCCTCCCTCCCGCCAGCCTGCGCCCTCCCTCACCTGCGGCAGGACAGCGCCCGCCCGCCCGCCCGGGTAAGCCCCTCGCGACCTTCCCTGCTGCCACTGCCACAGCTCGAGGTGCCGCCCGCCCCGTCCCCTCTACTTGCCCTCTCAGCCCAGAAATAATTATAGTACCATTGCAGACATCCCCGCACCCTCCCTCTCGGAGACCCAGGCGGTGCAGCAACGTTCTCCCCCACCCCCCGCAGCGAGAAACGAATGAACCCCCTCCTACTTCCGAAAGAGAACAAAATAACGCGCTCCTTAAGAAAAGAGACAATCCTACCTCCGCAGGCGCTGGAGACCACCAATGATGCTTTTGCTTAGCAATCCCTGAGCCCCATTTCCCCTGGCCGCCTTCGCCCTGGGGCCTGGGACTGTGCGCTAGACGTGGCTGACACTCCCTGCACGCAACCCTGGGAGGAGGGAGAGGAAGGAGAGTTCTATAACCCAGGCTTTACTGCCAACCCCTCCTCTCTTCAGCTCCCCCCACCCACCACCACCACCACCACCACCACCACCAAATGTTTACACCCGCCCAGGATGCGCTGTAAAAACAAAACAAAACCAGAAAAAAAAACCTTTGCTGCTGACATCGCAGATGAAGCCAGGCCCAAAGATGGGTGACCCGAACAAGGCATTTTTACTGCCCCACAGCGCTGGGTCAGCTCCACAGCTCCTCTGCCTTTGTCCGAGGGCAAAAGGAACGGATGTGAAGCTGAGGGGTCTTCTCTGTGAGCGGCAGTGGACCCCGGAGGCGGGCTGTGATGTATGTAGGGGAAGGCACCCAACCAATATATCTGCCATAAACCTGAACTTGGGTTGGAGAGGCCCAAGAGACTGGCTGGGTAACTCCGGTTCGTAGCTGTCTACCCTGGAATAAATGCCACGTTCTTTTCCGCGGTGTCTGCGGGACCCTCTGTTGAGGGTTCTAATTCGTTTTGGTCTGGGCTCCTTACGTTTCTGTCCGACCAGGCGCTTTTGGACAGCTTTTCGCAACGGTGTCTATGCTTGTGTTCGGTGTCCTTGGAAGGGAGGTCCCAGAGCTTTGCAATAGGCTGGATTTGGTTTGACATCTTTTGGTGGACTGTCAAAGGGGAAAGGAAATTTTTGGATTACTTCAAGATCCCCCACCGCCCCCGCCCAACTGACGTTTGCGAATTGCGGCTTTGAAAATAGGAATGTTGACTAGAGTGTGGAGAGAGAGTTGCTGATTTCATTGCTTTGAGTACTAGTAAAATCATTTAAGTATCAACCGGAAGGGAGAGAGCTATTGACATTTACGTCGGTTCTGTTTGGACCTTTGGGGTACATAAAATGTCGGGTTCTCTGAATCTTTTATCGAATTTAGAATGTCTGCTACATTTATTTAACTCTTCTGCAAATGCTTAAAATGAAAACATTTTGGAAATGCAAGAATTTTTATCATGTGGATTGTTCTTTTCATATTTTAAATGTTAACTTCGTATCTTTAATCCTAAACATTAAAATAGCATTGAAGAGTCATGATTTTCAAGATTAAGTGAGCTAAAGGGATACCCTTTTAAAGAACGATCCGGGAAATGCTGTTACTATTAGTCGCTGTTGTTGTTAAATGTTGATTTGGGAGTTTCTCTATTTTGGTAGATACTCATGAGAAGAAATGGCTCATTTCTCCACTTTGAACATTTGCAGTACAACATCCCAGTTAGTTTTAATGAGTTAGGTATTGAAGATAGTTGTCTGGTTTAAGACTGGTATTTAACCTAAGAACTTGAAAACACAAGCGCTAATGTTCTTTATTTTGGAAATTTGTGATTTTGTAAAATATTAATCAACATATTGTTTCTATTAGGAACGCTATAATCAAAAGGGTTACTACCCAGAGGTAGACAGCCTCTTTCTATTTTATAAATGTGTGTTGATTTTTACTTTATAAAACCAAAGCTGAATTAGATTATTTCAGAATCACCTGTAGTTCAGGCTGAAGAAAATTAAAGCTTTTTTCCCTTTTTGTTCTGCCTAATGTCTATTTCTTTGCGCACAATTTTTTGTTGGTAAGAGTTTGTTAAATACCCAGAGACAGTGGGATTAAAAATAAAATAGTCTCTATTCTTTTTAAAATGTGTCTGTTGTATTAATAATAAAAGGGCTCAAGAAATCCAGAGACATTATGTCTTTAAAATGTAAGCAAATTTTGAGGAGAAAGGAAATGTTTATTTTTGACAAGTTTTTCATTAACATGGATTTTTGTTGCATAATAATTTGCTGTATATTTCGTTTTCCCTTTGTCTTTCCTACATTGTAATGAAATTACACATTTAGTTTTACAACTATTTGTTTTACAGTAACAAATTCAAACAGCTGGCTACTAGAACAGACTTTTCATTCACCAAGTTAGTATATTGTTTAGATAATTAACGAATGGTTAGAAGTCTTAAAATCCACTCATTTTCTAATGACTTTTCAGTGTTACAATGCAAATATAACTGTGAAGTTTTACTTAAAGTTTAAACTTTTTGTTTTAAGACTTTTCTGAAAGTTTATATTCATTTCTCCCAAGGAAAGCTGCCTTTCACCTCTTTAGTCGGAGGAAAAACCCATACTTAAAGGCTTATCCTGAAATTAACTCTGGTTTCAATAGTGAAAATATGCTAAATATCCTATTTATCACTGAATTATTTTGGAAATGCCATGTTAATCTTGTTTGCTTTTCAGAAACGTATAAAGTAGGAGAGAAGCTGGCATATAAGGGAAAAGTTTTATACATAGATAATAAATAGCATAAAATAAGTACATATTTATGTGGAGAGATCTAGGTCTCAGTCATTTGCTGATTTGAGCTTAAAATTCTCAGTTTAAGTGTACACATGATGTTCAACTTGTGTTCTGTCTAGAAACTTCATAATTGGCTTTGCGCTGGGGAACGAGAAGTCAGTTGTTGGTAGCAGTCACTTTTTCAGAAAAACAGGGTACTTCCAAACAAATCGCTTCGGAATCCTTGTATATAGACGTCTAGGACGGAGGGCAAGAAAATTTAGACTGGAAGTTGGGATCGGACGGAAGGCATTTTCGAGTCTTAAGTCTTCTGTCCTGGGGGCAGCAATCAGCACAGAAGAAAGGCAGGAACTGGCAGGGGGTGGGTGGGGCCCTCATCGTATTCTCATTGGCTTTGCTGCTGCCTTGAATTCTCATTAGGGAGCAGGGGCTTGGTTTGATGCAAGGTAAAATCTTGAGGAAGAACAGCAGCCCTTCTAGATTGGATTTTACCAGATCTTAGCCTCAGTTTACTAGCAAAGCGCAATGCCCCACTCCATTCTCTGTGGAGATCCTGCTACTCCGCCTTTTTGTTCCTGGAGGGGCAGGGGTCTATCCAGGGTCCTGATTGCCACTGTTTGAGCCTGGAGGAGCTACTGCTTCTTCACACATCTATTTCTATGCAGTGGAAAGTGCATCAAAAGTTCTGTGTCCCCTTCCCAATAGACTTTGGGACAGGGAAGGGAGTGTAGAAAAATCAACACGGAAATGATACTACGTGGTACTAGAGGTTGCCCCCAAAGTGGGCAAGTTCTTTATGGAGCCTAAAACCTGGGTTTTTATCTCTTAGCGTGGGCCTTCCCTTCAGGGAGCCATTTCAGGGACCACTGGACATAGGTAGGTTGTTCTGGGTCCGGTGCACAGGACTGCCTCCGTTTGCTCTTTGGTGGCCAGGTGCTGCTTGTTTCTTTTCAGTGGGAAGTCGCAAACTTCAGCCCAGGGCTGAAGTAGCTAATGCTAAGTAGAATGGGGCTCTTGCTAAGAGAAAAAGGAAGCTGTGAATACCTAGCAGGCAGGTTTGTTCAGGAGGCAAAGGGATATGTTAGGGGGCTTTGAGGGTTCAGGAATTAACAAGGCTTACTCCCTAGGCTGCTCCTGGTTTTTTGATCGTTAGTCCAATCTCTTCTCAGAAGCTGGGCAACCATATTTCCAGTTGTCCTTCTGGCTAGGAGTGCGGGAGGCAAGTCTCCTTACTTTTGGGGGAAGAGATGCTCAATGGGAATACAACCCACGGGTGGAATAGGTACACTTTTCTCAGGATAGTGGCAGCAATCTGTGCTTGAGAAAACCAGTCGCAGAGCTGTGTGATCTGTATCCTCTCAGCTGCCTGTAGAATGTGATGGGGGAGAGAGTGTGGGAGCATTGGCAGGGGGTCCCCTGGAGTTAGGCCTTAGCTTTCTCCACAGTGCCAGGGCTGCAGACTGCAGTCAGAGAGTATGAGCACTCAGTACCTATCTGGAAATAGGCCCTGGGTTATACATCAGGTCTAGTAAGAGAGAAATCAGTTATTTCTGAGTCCCTTCTTTACTCCTGAGCTCCTTTCTAACACCAGGGAAAATCCCTTTTAGCTGTCACCGTCCAAAGATTCACTGGATCAGTAATGGTCAGCAACCTAGCTGTCTGCATAAAAATCATTGATCATTTAATGTTTTACTTTTGGAAGTAGGGTCTCTCCTTGACACAAGTTTCTGGGAGGACGAGTAAAAGGGGCAAGCGAACCTGCTTTAATGAATCGCGTTAAGGAACTGCGTTTCCCAGGAAATTCCTAACATTTTTAGCTCATGAATTTCCGAAAGCCTGCTTGGTTTTCTCCTCCATTCTGGGTCCTTCCAGAAAAGAAGAGTGGGCTAGGGTCTGAATGCTCACAGGGCCTGGTTCATCCGCAGAGCTGGCCAGCAACACAGGCTGGGCTCAGCCCTGAGCAGGGTGCCCCCCTTCCCCAAATCTCAGAAGGAGGAGGGGGAGGCGGGAGGGCAGGCAGGCAGTCGTGGTCCCAAGGGGGACTGGCTGCAGGTTTTTGGGTGAATGTGGAGTTTCTTTTTGATTGTTGCTCGTGGGGAAGGGCAGAGCCGATGGGAACAGGCACTGCGGGCACCCTAGCCCTGGTGCGTCTACTGTCCTCTGCTCGGCTCCCCCCATCGGTGAGTGCGCCCGCCCGCCCGCCCGACTGTGCGGGGCTGCGGTTGGGGGGAGGGGGGAGCGGGATCATCTGAGGCCAGAGCCACTGCCGTGTGCGCGGGGAGGGGGAACGGCGGGAGAGAGAGGAGGGAGAGGGGAGGGACAGGCTAGGTGTCTGCTGCTCCGTGCCACTGCTGCCTGCACCCCGTCCTCATCCCCAGCAGCCCCCTCTGCAGCTAAGGTTTACCACCGCACCACCTCTCTTCCTCGCCTGCCTCAGCAGCCAGGGCTCTGCGGTAGGAGACAGTCCAACCGGGTGGCGGGCGGGCCTGTCTAGGTTTGGCTCAGGGTCTGACTGAGGCCCGCATAAGAAGAAGGGGTGGCCGTGACTCGGTGTCCCCTCTCTGCAGCGGGCTCTGTTGCGCTGCGCAGGCCCCTCCCCCCACATCCTCTTTTGGGGGGGGTCACTGGAAAGCAGAGGTTAGGCCCACTCCTTGTGTTTAGTATGGCAGACTCCTTCTCACCCCTAGTCCCCTAATTCCCCAGGCTGAGGCCGCCTAGGGTCTGGCCAACAGCAACAGCCACGGTGGTGGTGGTGGTAGTGGTGGTGGTGGTGGTGGTGGTGGTGGTGGTAGCAGTGGCGGCAGCAGCAGCAGCTGCTGCGACGCGGCGCGTCTTGCTCTCCCCCACCCAGCCAGGGTTGTAGGGTGAGGGCTGGTGGGTGGGCGCCGCCTGGCGGGCGGGCGGACGGGGGGCTGGCAGTGGGGAGGGGGCGCAGGTCACGTGTCGGCGGGCGGGTGGGCGCGTACAGTAGGGCGCCCTGCTACTGTACTGGGGAGTCAGTGCCCTGTTACCGGGTCTCGTCTGTCTCGTCTCTCCCGCAGATCTCGCGAGAGTGGCTGACTGGCTGTGGGGGTTGCGGCGGCAGCAGGCGGAGCCGGGGAGGGAAAGCAGCGGCGGCTGAGGCGACTGAGGCGGCGGGCGGAGCGGCAGGCGGCGGCGGCGGCACGGCAGCGGAGCGCAGCATCATGGCGGACCGAGACAGCGGCAGCGAGCAGGGTGGTGCGGCGCTGGGCTCGGGCGGCTCCCTGGGGCACCCCGGCTCGGGCTCAGGCTCCGGCGGGGGCGGTGGTGGCGGCGGGGGCGGCGGCGGCAGTGGCGGCGGCGGCGGCGGGGCCCCAGGGGGGCTGCAGCACGAGACGCAGGAGCTGGCCTCCAAGCGGGTGGACATCCAGAACAAGCGCTTCTACCTGGACGTGAAGCAGAACGCCAAGGGCCGCTTCCTGAAGATTGCCGAGGTGGGCGCGGGCGGTAACAAGAGCCGCCTCACTCTCTCCATGTCAGTGGCCGTGGAGTTCCGCGACTACCTGGGCGACTTCATCGAGCACTACGCGCAGCTGGGCCCCAGCCAGCCGCCGGACCTGGCCCAGGCGCAGGACGAGCCGCGCCGGGCGCTCAAGAGCGAGTTCCTGGTGCGCGAGAACCGCAAGTACTACATGGATCTCAAGGAGAACCAGCGCGGCCGCTTCCTGCGCATCCGCCAGACGGTCAACCGGGGGCCTGGCCTGGGCTCCACGCAGGGCCAGACCATTGCGCTGCCCGCGCAGGGGCTCATCGAGTTCCGTGACGCTCTGGCCAAGCTCATCGACGACTACGGAGTGGAGGAGGAGCCGGCCGAGCTGCCCGAGGGCACCTCCTTGACTGTGGACAACAAGCGCTTCTTCTTCGATGTGGGCTCCAACAAGTACGGCGTGTTTATGCGAGTGAGCGAGGTGAAGCCCACCTACCGCAACTCCATCACCGTGCCCTACAAGGTGTGGGCCAAGTTCGGACACACCTTCTGCAAGTACTCGGAGGAGATGAAGAAGATTCAAGAGAAGCAGAGGGAGAAGCGGGCTGCCTGTGAGCAGCTCCACCAACAGCAACAGCAGCAGCAGGAGGAGACCGCCGCTGCCACCCTGCTACTGCAGGGTGAGGAAGAAGGGGAAGAAGATTGATCAAACTGAATGAAAACCCCACACACACATGCATACACACGCACACACACACACACACACACAGCCACACACAGAGAAAATATACTGTAAAGAAAGAGAGAAAATAAAAAGTTAAAAAGTAAAAAAAAAAAAAAAAAAAAAAAAAAAAACCTGTTAACTCCAAGGGAGCACCACCCACAGAACCTCCACCAACTGACAGTTTCTCTTCTTGACTTGCCACTCATCGCTGGATGTTGTCCACTTTATCCACCATATAAAACAGTAAGCAGCTGCTAAAAACAAAAAAATACAAAAAGTAATAACATTATATGAACTGTGTTTCCTACTTGATTAAAAAATATAAAGAACTGAGTGTTTATTTCCCTAATTAACCAAGAACTTTTGTACACGTTTAAGCTATTATTATTAAAAAGTGTTTGCAAAATGGTCAAGATTATAATATTGCTGAATTATATAAAAGTCCTTTTCATGTTGAGCTAACATTTGACTTTAGCACAAAAAAAGAGATATTTTAGAACACGTAAAATAATATTTTTAGTTTTTCTCATTTTGTTACCAAATTTCAAACCTTACATGGAGGTTATTATAGTATATTTGACACCCTATATACCTGTGATTAGAGATGTGTATATATATGAGGGCTAGGCATGCTGTGTGTCTGAGCTTTGTCTAAATGTTATGCAGAAGTTTGTAGAGTTAAAGGTACGTAGGTTTAATTCATGCAAGGTAAACAATAAGTGCTCTCTTTTATACAATATGCATTGCATCTGGACCTTAAACATAAAAATGGTCAGTGAAACTTCTGTGAACATGAAGAAATTATTAAAAAAAAAAAAAAGGCATTTAAATGAAATTTGCTAAGTTGTGATTTTTATGGTTGGAACCAAAGTTGTTCAAATAGTAAAAGGAAAAAGAAAGAAAAAGGAAATCTCCCATAATATTTTTCTGCATCTGTTTGCTTTGACTGAGTAGGCGTTTTGTCATTATTGTGTATATGAGATGTACTTGTATCGTTCATAATATATTTTTTTTATTATGTGTAGAAAGATTTTAAAAACTTAACTAACGTGCAGCAATTTCCAGTGAACCTGTACTTGGACATCAGGTAGTGAGTCTATTTGTGGTCACTAGCACTGTCTCCTAAACTTGTAAGAGGTCTGAAGCTATCCTTTGATTTTCGCTAGTGCTATTAACTTATGTAGACCTGTTAAAAAGCAGAGCAACACAATTATAGTTATCCTACTGAGCCATGGATTCTGAGTTTTGTTTTAAAGTGAAAGCCAAGTTGGTGTATGTAAAGGATTTCCATGTAGCTGTGGTGCTAGTTATTACTGGCTACATTATATGCTAAGTGTATTTGTGTTCCCCAAGTGTACAAGCCTTCTATCAAAAGTATGTTCTATAACTCATATATTCAAGGTGTAGGGTATAAAAATGCAAAGTTTAGGAGAGCACTTTACCAAGCTGGTGTCCTCCAAACTGAAATTGTTTGTAACGATAGTCTTTTACAGGTTTTCATTTAAAGATGTTTGTGTGCTTTTAATTGACGACTAACTTCTTGCTGCTGTATAGTAAAATATTAATATATTTTTATCATTAAACTGCTGCATGACTATCATCTTTGAGTGAAGAGAAAATGTTATAAAAAAAAAAAAGATGCCTTAAACAGTACATTTTGGTTTGGAATTCTGTAGAAAGTATTTTGGTATTAAAAAAAAAAAAAGGGTCTTGTCTGACAGAGAGAGTTCTGGGGATGGAATTGTTTCTTGGCAAATCCAGCCATATAGATCTAACTGCTGTATGTATAAGACACCACCTGTAGGAGCGGGAAGGTATCAGTGCTTCTCATATTGTAAAGCATTGGCCTAGGAAGGCAAACAGTTGTCTTTTTGAAGGATTTTTTTTTCTGCTGGTTCTTTGGGTTTTGATTTGATATTTTTATGCTCCCTGGTTTAGTGTGTTGTCTTCGTTTTTGAGATCTACTGTATATGTTGAATAACAAGCTATTTTCATTGTACTGTGCATTTTCTCATTAAATTGTTTGCTTTTAATATTCATAAAATGTTAAATATGAGGTGACCGTACAGTAGTTAGGAGTTTCTTTACTTACAAAATCACTGGAAATGATTAAATTGCTTTTCCCCCTCCCCAGAGGTGCATTTTTCTTATTTCCATATAGTAAAGTTGAGCTTTTACAGTGCATAATGTGACATTTGGAATGCTTATCAACTGCATGTAAACATTAATAACCTGCACTTTTTTGTCTTAAGGTTTGTTGAGCTGTTTTGTTCACTGTACTTTAACTGTGATATGGAAAAGACTGCATTCTCTGTGCTGTTACTAATTAGGAAAGAGAATTGCTTTGATTTTGTCTCTTGTTTACTATAGCTTCTTAAAGTTAAGCCTTGTACTACAGGTTGTTGGAGTACTCCTAGATTACTGTTTCATAGTAGCCAGCAATAAGTAGTGCAAGTCAACAAAAACAGCAAACTTAGGCAAAGTGTCCTTCCTTTGAGATGCGAGTTCTTTCATGAGGTTTTCTTTAGGGCCAGAGTTACCTAAAGTGAAGCCTTTCTTACCTATAGACTACAGATTCTGCTTGGAATCCCACCGGCTCAAGAAGCACATGTATTGTGCAGTTGTCTTTACACTAAAACAGTTGAATACAATCTTACTAAGATTTTGAAACCAGTGTCTGATTTATGGTCAGTGGGTTTAAAAAGAAATCCACATGCAGATCTTTTAAGACTTAAAAAGTGATCGTAGAAAAGACTAAGTGACTGTAAAGATGCTCTTTTTTTTAAGCATCTCACTTTACCTCCCCAAGCACCCTCCCAAACCTTGTCTTCCCTCTCCTGTTTCATTCTTTCCCTACCCTTCCCTCCCAGGTGCTCGGTACTTTACCAAGGTTCTATATCTCAGTGTTTTATGTTGGAGTTTTTCCTTGTTTTTATTTTAGTAGTTGGCAAACCCTGTTTGTGCTGACACAAATAAGGAAATGGTATATTTGACCATATGTGTTATTCATAGAAGACAGTATGATCAAATGTGCCAAAAACAAGTAAACAAAACTTAATTCCTGAGAAGTATGCCTTATTTTTATTGATCTGCTTTGTCTTACAATTAAGGTCCAAGAGCTTGGTTAAACTGTATTACTTGCCTAAGTATAAAAGAAAACTTGAACTGCATTGCAATATTGACATTCTTTAAAATGAGAGACACTGTCAAGTAATTTAATCCAGAGATCAGCCACCAGATTTGAAATGCTCATGTATGTGTGTGTGTTTGGAGTTGTTTGGTTTTTTTCTTTTAAATCACCAAATTTTTTTAAGCTACTTTTATTTGTGCCTCCTATTTATCATGCTGGTGTTAGAAGCAACAGTCATCCAACCACAGAGGGAGCTAAAGTTAACTAACCAGAACTGTAGAAATCATTATACATGCCTTTGACAACAAAGGAAGTTCATAAGAAAAGCCATGTTGGCTTTTCCTCTACTAGATACAGATTGGAGATAGATGAATATTTGCCAAATGGAAAAAAAGACGATGCTAGTCAGGAAAGACAAACTGTTTTCCAGCTTCTCAAAAAGCCATGGAGAGTAGAAACCAAAACCAACAGGGAAATAAAAAACCTTGAAAGTCTCACTTTCTAGTTGTCCCATGCAGGGGTTGAAATTTGGCTCAAAGCGGAAAGTATGTTTTTTTAGGCCTTCACATCTAGAGATGGTTAACTTCCAATTTGATTTTTCAGGTAATAGAGAAAGCTGCTAGTAATTGTAACCCCTGCCTAAAGAAAGACAGATAATTTCATTTGGGAGCAAATACTTATTGCCTTGAAAAGTAGCACTGTAATAGCCTATGATAATTAGTTGTAGAATAACCTTTATCCCTTTCAAACTATGCAAATTATTAAATAAGTGTAAATTAGGATTCAGTTAAAGATAGTTGATTATATTGCAATCAGATGGCATTCACAAACTTAACTGGAGCATATACAAATAAAATCTATTAGTCTAAGTTTTGTATGCTAACAGAAAGATATAATTTAGCTACCTATTCTAAAAATGGTGAATATTATTAATATTGTATAATAGGACTGGGAAGACTGCCTCCTTTTTTGAAGAGAGAGATTAAGGATTTTTATAATTGTTTTTCATCAAATTTTAATATTTTTGTCAAATTTTTAGGTATTTAATTTGTAAAACAGTTTGCTTTGTACTGGCATACAGAAAATAGGGTATTGATTTTAAACTTTTTGAAGCCAAGTGATCAAGTACATTTGTAATAAAAGTCAATGGATCTATATCAGTTGTACTCACTGTTTTCATTTCTTATTAATATAGGGATGCTGTACTTTTTCTTCAGGAAAACTGAATTAAATTTGGGTGGAAGGGAGGGGAAAAGGTAAATCCATTGATAATGAGAATCTGGGTGGGTATCATGGCCCAAGCACTTTATATCATTTTTTAAGTCAGTTAAGATTTGATATATTTAAAAAGATACTATGTCGACTTTTTTCTTCCTGTTTTCTTATGTAACTTGATGTTTGAGGGGGGATTCTCTCATTCATTTTTTTTTGTGTGCTTTTAACACTTTGTGTTTTGGCCCTGTTGAAACGTTCTAAACATGTTTTTCTTTTATGACATTTTGGGTCATCTGCTAGCCCTGGTGACCCCACTGTGTGGGCATGATTATTTTTATCTTCCACACATCGTTTACCTTCTCATCTACAATATTCCCACTCATTTTTTTTCAGGTGATATACACACAGAGATTTCCAGATGATTTTAGAATGGGGTTTTCTGAAACTGATGCTTGAGTAGCTTTCATAGCTCCACAATTCAGTTTATTTTACATGTGAACATAATTTTAAGATTTTCTTCACCATAAAAAGTGAGATACCAAGTCTAATGACTTTTTTGCCTTTTTAAAATCTTTTGAGTATCAGAATGAGATCTTGCTGTCTACATAAAAGGATGCTAAAACAAGGGCATCTATAGCACCTTAGGTTTGGAATAGTTGGTGATGATGCTAACGTTTATAGTTTATTATCCCTGAATTTGAATATCTTCATAATTGGGGGAGATATCCCCGCATGCGCACAGACACACACACACACACACGAATATATGTATGTATATATGTATATATATATATATATGTATATATATATATACACACATATATGTATACACACACACACCCCCCTCCATGAGAGTGGAATAAGTAGGAGAGAGAATTTATTGGAATTGCTTACATAAATTCACAAAAGTTATTTGTGCAGATTTGTTTAAGTGTATCAATTTTTAAATCATAATATTTCTGTTTACTTCATTGCATATTAACCAAATTTTGGCCATTTGTAAGTACAATATAAAACTAAAGTGATCACTGCTATTCATGAATTAATTATTGTAGAGTTTTCTTTGCAGAATTTGTGATTTTTTTTAAAGAAAAGCTGATTTTCCTATTAATATTTGAGAAGGTATTTGATCCTAAAACAAAACCTAAATTTAAGGCATAGGCCATTTGACAGGTTCTTTTTGAACAGAAATTTCATTATTGTAGTCTAAGTGAAAATAAGCCAGAATTAGCACGAGTCAAGTAGAATTTCATGATACAAGAACAACCAGATGAAAAATGAAATAATGATTGGTTCCGAGCCAATGAATCTGCTAAACTAACTACCAAGTTTTGATGTTGAATGGGCCAGGCAATTTATGTCTTTAGGAAAGCTGAGTGTGGCAGAGGTCACTTGTTAACATTTTTAACAAGAATGTCATAACTACTCATTCATTTTTATTTTGTCCCCATGTTTATTGTTTTGGTTTGTCTTTTTCCTTCCTGATGTCCTTTGCTTTTGTGGAAAATTGTCCTGTTGATAGGCAGAAACATGGTGGTGATCCTCTATGTAAAATAAAGTTGCTTCTTACACATCAGAAATATTTCACTCATTTTGGAATCACAAGATTGTCATGTTTTCATAAATACATTGTTTTGATTTGATTATTGTTAGCAATTAGCTTATTTTGTAGCATTTCATGGAAAAAAATTTAAGCTAAAGAGTTTAATTTTCTTGATTTCAGTTCTACTTTAATAATTCAAGAGGCCTCCAAGTTCAAGGACCAAGTCCTTATATTCTAGTGTTGTGAAAAACATGGAAATACTCTTGTTAGTGTGTGTTTTGGTCTAAGGTAGATTAACACAGAAGGATCCTAGGAGGATTTAAGAAAATATGTCCTTATTGTGAAGTGGCAGTTAAAGTTATGGGACAGGTGACTTACCTCTTCATCTTGACTAGCTCAGTGACGGCCATCAGCTAATGACTTACCAGGCACATGTTGAGTTTGAATCAAACTTGCATTTAGCCGGAGTGGATTGGCAGTTTTCAATGCAGGTAGTTGTTGGTGGCACTTGACCTACCTCCTTACCATGTAGATCTGGCATCTCTCTCCTATCCTTCTTTTTGTTTCTCTCTTCTTTTTTATTCTTGTTGTAGGCCTACCAGTGGCACTCAAGCTTACTTCTTCTGAGAGAAGTAAATAAATTTCTGACTCCTGCCTTAGAACATAGCTAACTGATGATCCAGAACGATTTCAGTATTATGAGGTAACTGGGCAGTTTTTTTTTTTTTTCCAATTGCTATTTTCCCCATAGTCTTAAGCTGACAGTATGAAGGGTATCTAAATTAATGTTTGTGAAGAAACTTGTGAACTGAAGATAGTAAGAGGTATGTGTATTTTAGGCAAGTTACTGGGATCTGAGACTTACTGGTTTGGAAATTTGAGAGTAGGATGAGGAGAGCTGTTTAACATGTTTGTGGTTGGGCGTTCGGAAGGTATATAGGGAATGGTTTGGAAGTAAAATGGGAGGAATTTTTACTAGAGGTAGGAAAAGGTACTATGATGGAGTCTGAATGAGAGTTATTTACTAAGGAAATGAAGTTGACCTTCACTAAGGAAGTTTCAATAAAACCGGAGAAAATGGGTGCCTCACTGATTATGAGAAAACTGTTAGTTACTACAGCTAGAGTTATGATGGTGATGAAGCATTATACAAGTCTGTTTTCATGTATAGGATGTTTGCTTTTCTGGGACAAATTAAGTAGCACAATTGTGGAATGACAGCTTTTCTGGTCAAGGCAAGTGGGTGCTGGGAGTTATTTTGAGGAAAAGAGAAGGAAATTTTACGCTTTTCACAGTTATTTTTAAACTATCGGAAATATTTATCACACATACTATCTATTTTCTTGGGCTCTTGTTACAATGTAGTTTACTTTTCAAAATGGTCCTTAGATTATTTGATTTTGCAGTCCACAAAGACACTTATTATTCCTTGCTTTCATAGAACTTTGAGACTTTGGCCCACACAGATTTCTTAGACGAAGGACAATAAACCAGATAAAAACACTAACTTGCAATTTTAGGTATCTTTTTTATTTCTTTTATATTTGCAACCATAGCAATCATTTAACCTTGTGGACCTTATGAGGCACTTAATAATACTATATTTCTAAAATTAGACAACATACCCCCTAAACTCATGTTCCTGTTTCCCCACTTGGTCTCTTACTTCAAAATTGTAGTATTCCCAAGAGTTCAGTGGTGGCAAATATTAATAAAATAAGTTATTAATAGTACATCTTGGAGGTTCATATGTCCTTTGTAGGGTAAGCTGATAGTGTTTAGATTTCTGTTCCCATTATTCCATTAGTATTTTAAATTAAGACAAAGAATTACTGTAATATTTGTTTTTAAAGTTACATAATTCAAGTATGTTTGGATTAACTCTTTGTTGTCAAATTTAGTGTGGATTTATTCCTGGTGATTTTGACAGATTACTTTCAAGTTTCATTTTACTCACATCTCTATATGTTAGTGATAAAAATCTCTTTTAAAAATAGCAAAAAAGAGGATCTGATTTTCTACTTTGAAGGTAATTTTTCTTTTTTATGAATGTCAAGTTCATTAATAGCAGGATTGTTTTTACTATAGCTTGTTTTATAGAGTTGGCACTTTAGTATAATTTTCACATTTTGTGTCAGATTTTAAATTATAAAGTTACATACTATAACTAATTTAAGTCAGTGCAGAGCCTTCTTAAATAACCCCTCCCTTAGAAATTTGCTTAAAAAGAAGTGAATTCCCAAACCTGTGTCAAGAACTAGTGATTTAAATGACTGTGAGACAAGTCTTTGAAAGGCTTCTTTAAGCCTAGTCAGTGGAGATAAACGATAGCCCATGTCCATGCTGCATATAGTTGTTAGGGTTTATAAAGTTTGTCAATGTGTAAAAGTGCAAAAGCAGGAAAGACTATGTAAAGTTGCCTGTAAAATTTCTAGTTTTCATTATTTGCACTATTTATCTTTGCACTTGATTTTTTGAAAGTTGACTAGTCACTTTCACTTTTGTTTCTAGTCTTTTCTAATTTCATGCAGAATTATGTTTTCAATATCCCACCCAAAGCAAAACTTATATGCAATTAAATATACTTTATAAGACCAAGAAAATATTTCTTAGTGTTAGCTGTGTAAAACAAAAATTTGTTTTGATAAAATTTTTAATATGGACCTTTATTTGCTGATAAAATCCTTTGTAAATGTGAGCTTTATTAAACTGTTTAAATAGACAGCTTAGGATAGGAAATATATATGTGTGTGTATATGAAATGATGTCTTTGAGTTTCAACTTCCAGCCTGAGATGGCCTTGTTTTGGTGTGTTGGTTTGTTTCACTAAAGTCAGTGAGATATGAGTCTAGCTGGGTACATGCTTACAAAGCTGGAAGTGAGGTGGGTGGCAAGTGGCAGCTCCCTCTTTTGTGTAGTTTTCCATAATGTTCATATAGTTTCCTCATGGTCTAAGTGATATAACTGGTTTTAAAGTAATTATATTGAATATTCCTTTTTGGAATTCAGGGTTGAATCACTTTTTGAGGGGGAAGGGAAGCAAGGATAAGAGACTTTATTTTAACCAGATGTGGTCTTACGACCTCAAAGTTGTGCTCCAGAAAGAAAATAACAAAAAGTATACCTGTGAACATATTTTTTGTCTTGGTGATATTATGCAACACAGAATTGCAAAAAAATTTAAAAATTGATAGTTTTATCAATGGAACAGAGAGATGGGTTTTTGACTAAAATGATTTTTTAAGTTATTTGGTTATTTCATTTCATATTCCCTTTCTCATAGCTTTGTACACACCTCATACTTAAAACCAAGTGATAGGCCTCTTTTCAGATGTGGTTTATTTTTGGAATGCCTGACTGTGTTTCCGGATTGGGGAGGCGGGTGTTTTACTTCTTGACATGCTCTTAGCATGTTTTGCTAGTCATTCTGGATCTTATGTTTGCAAATTCTGTTGAAAATTCAGTGATGTATTTGAAATGAGAAAGTCCTCTATAATATAGTCTGAATGTTTGTGGCAATTCAGTTGGCTTTGTTTTTTGCTTTGGATAGAAGTTTAACTTCCACTGTTCAGATTTTAGGTTTATCTAGTGAAATTGTGTCAGGTAATTGTCTAAATATGGACCAATTTTGGGAAATGAAGGTTAATAAGTGAATATTTGATTCTAGATAATCCTTTACTCAAAATTGTAAGTCAAAGATTCACATCAAGAGTTATCTAACTTTTATGTTGTCTAATCTTTAAATGTGGATGATATTCAGCATTATAGCTATGAATTTCCTTTAGGAAAAGAGAAAAATTCAGTCTTGGAACCTTTTCTTGGGAGACTAAATTTACCGCATATCGAAAATGAAAAAATTTTAGAAAGTGGATTTGATTATTTTTTAATGGAGTTTAACTAGCTTAATTAATGATTTTTCCTAGTTCGAAGTACTTATTTTCCCAATGTGAATAAAGGGAAAGGATCAGCAATTTGTCTCTGGCCTTTTTTGAGGCCATTTTCAGTTTTCTGCCCCCATTTCCCAGTCCTGGTATAAAATGAATTACGGGTATCCCTCTAAGTCCCTATAACCCTTTTTGGGGGTCACAGATACCTTTGATAATCTGATGAAAAGTGTGATGGATCCTCTCCCCAGGGGAAAAAAATGCACATAACCTGGGTAATTTTGCATATAACCTCAGGGGCATCACATATCTTCTGAAACCCAAGTTAAGGATTTCTGCTCTAAGTAAATTGTAGAGAATTTTAGCTCAAATCATTGATAAAATTAGGAACCAACTATTGGCTTAAAATCTTTCAGATTGGAATTAATGTTAAATGGTGGCCCCTACTAGCAAAATGTGACATTGCAACCAGCTTTGTTAGACATTATAACATCCAGAGAGAGGGGAAAAAGAAGCAAAGCTCTGAAAGCTATTTATAAGGAGTCAGGGCATCTCTAGACATGGGAGCCATTCCTGGTTCAAGGCAGGGGTCAGGGTGCCTGACAATTTCTAGCAGGGTAGAGTCTGATAAACCACAATGCTCAGGATGCCAAGGGGTTAGCCATTATCTTAACCCCTTCCTCACCAAAAGATTTTAGTTTTTGTCTGTTGGGAAACAAGATGTCACTAGGGAAAAAAAGATTTGCCTTACAACTTTGCTGGAACACATCAGTTTGGCGACGTTGGGACACTAGTGTTATTTTTGAGAAAGTGCATAAAACCAAAGTAAATTATTCTCTATGTAGAACATTTATTTACTAGTAACATTTGTTTGGGTGTATTCGCTTTGACAATTTTTACCAGTAAATATTGGTTTTATTTAAAACTGGGAATCCAGTTTATATATAGGATAGTTGATATATCTGTTCTTCTCCCCATGTAAAGAATAGTTAAAGATTTATGCATACTTTTTACTTTTCTCTCTTAATGCCATGGGGTGGGGTGGGTGGGTGGGGGAAAGATCTTTCAGTCTACAACTGACAAAATGTCTTCTTCAAATTAAAAAAATCGAGAAGCAGCACTTTAAGTCTAACTCTACACCATTTTATTGCATGTATTAGTTTTAATAATGATTTTTGGTGCATGCCTTTGGGCTTATTCAAAAGTGTACAATAGGAAAGTATATTTCCTTTCTTAGAAAGGAGATGTTTTCTACTTTGCAACATGTGATTACAAAAATCTTCCTCTGTGGGAAGATTAACCATGTATTGAACTACTGAAAAGTATATATTTTTAGATATACAGAAGGAATCTACATGGAGCAGCATTCAGACCTATATAGAAGTCATAGCATTCTGTATAGGACCAAAAAGGAAATAACATTAAACACTTAAACAGACTTTGTTGGGTAGAAATACCTTTAGATCTTGTATTGACTTCCAAAAAGAAAAAAATGCCACAGAAGTTTGCTGAAAACTTTTGTCATTTGAATTTTCTCTGTCAGTGTATTTAGCCCAAATACAACAGCTTTGGGTTAGCACACATATAAGAATCAAGAAAACAAAGCTCACTAAATAAATCAGTCTGATTTGCCAATCCAGCTTGACTGAAATAAGTAAACTAATCACTTGCAACATGAAAAACTGTCCAACTCCTCTAAGGTTCTGACAAAATAACCTTGGCTGATGTGGGAAGACTCCCACTTTGATTTCTGACCTGACAGTGAATATTCATGCTTGACATGATTTCAAACTTGACAGTGTCTGTTTAAGGAGCTATGGTACAGTTTGCTAATTCAATCCCAGATACCTGTTGATTACCTGTGAGATCTAGAGTCCAAAGTAGCCAGCAGCCATATCCCTGAGTGCTCTGTGCCCATCAGATATCTTAAAGTAAGCAGAGTTGGGACAGGTCACAGCTTGGATGATTGACCTCAGGTGCCATAGACAGCCCCAGATTCAAGAATCGTATCTGCTTTCTTGGGAGTCGTCACTGAACTGATGTCCCATACCGTGTTACTTACTGTAGACGCTCTCTTTTAGAGGAGGCCCAGAGCACACATCCTAATTGCTAGTGGTACTCAGAGAGGGGGTGCTAACTCTGATGCCCTGACCAAATTCCAGTTTAGGGATGTGGGTCTTCTTCTTGTCATTCTAATTGGAAATGTGCATCACTTCCCATTTTTCCTATTGATCTCAGTGCAAACTACACTAGTCTGTTTCTTTGCCCTGGTCCCAAGTCTCTAAGATGCTGGTATGTATTATATGGGCTAAGTTAATGCATTATCCTAAGGCACAAGAGTTGAGAAATGGGTGAGCTTGGTGTCAGAGTGCTATGTGGTTAGAGAGGGGACTCTTGTGATGCTGTGGGGATGAAATTGGCCCTCTTTTAGCATAAGTTGGGGAGTGTGCACTGGCTGGAGGCTTCCAGCCATGAGGTGTGAGCTGAAACCAATTTTTCCTCTTTTCTTATAGCATGTTGAGAAAATCTGTTGGGTTTTCAGCAGTCAGGGAAGGCCGGAGTTCTGCTTTAATCTGGGTAACTGAGGCTAATGTGAGCAAGACTTTGGTTAATTAACTGGGTTCTCAGATGCCACAGACTCCGTGAGAAGTCACCATTATTTTCAATGGTTGTGATAGAATTTCCCCCTAGTAGCCATTATTTTAAGATTATATTGCAGAGTTGCTTTATTTTGAGCTTTTCGTGTATACACAATCCCAAACTGGAAGAAATTTTAAAAAAAAGGAATCCTGCTGTGAAAGGTATATATTACTCTAGATTTTTCTTACTGTAAATATTGTAAGATTGTAATACTGTCGATATTTTATTAACCAACAAATGTTAATCTATGTGAATTCAGACTTATTTTAAATGTGCTTCTTATTTACTGTGTGTGGTCCCTGTTGCTGACAGTATTAAGTTATATTCTGATGTAAGATTAACTTTATTAAAGAATGTAAACATTAATGTTTCCTTATGGGAAAACAAATAAAGTATAAAGAAGACAATTCTTTTCATTGAAATATACTGTGTATTTACACTTGCTAGACCCAGCACCACTTATAAATTTAGTACACTGTTCAGAATTTTAGTTAACACAGCTGACATGGTTGTGCTCTGTTTGAAAGTCTAAGAATAGGTATTGTTGGAATATACAGTTTGTATTTGTCTGCTGTGAATCATGATCTTGAAATTTCTAATCAAGTTTGTAAAATTTTTATAGTGAAACATTTTAATGACAATTAAAAAATTTATCTTCTCTAAAGAATGGTCAAAACAATATCCTTTCAGAAATAGAATTGTTCTTTAATATCTTTCCAAAATGACTTTGGTTAAATGGACCAGATGTATATTAGTTAAAATTTAGGACTAAGTTGTTGATATTCTTTGAGTTTACAAGTTAATCCTTATTGGAGATGTGCCAATATACAGTTAGAATATCATTAAGTTGCACTGTTTGGGGACCCCATTTAAGAATGCTGAATTTTGCCAACTAAGAAGTAAGCAAATACAATTTAAAAAGTAAATTTGAGCATTCTGTATTAAATATGTGCAGTTATTATCACATGAAGAAACGCAGTGTGTCGGGCTGTAATATTACCATATTTGCTGTCATGTTCTCCCATCTCAGTGCTGGGAACTCACCATGTGGAAACCAAGCAAACGTGTTGTGCATCAGCCGGCTTGAGTTTGTTCAATATCAAAGCTGAAAACTAGCGAGGTCTGCTGTACTGCTTATTGAAGTATTGTGATTCTTTTAGGCATTGATTCTTATAAAATATATACTGTAACAGTATACTTTGTACAGATTTAAATTTTATTTGAAAAAATGAAATAAAGTAGGCAAAAAAATAAAGATGTTTATTTTTCATGTGACTGTATAAACAGATCAGTCTTTTGTTTCAGTGCTTTTGGGGGGAAGGGGTCTGGTTGCTCTTGGATTTTTGTTGTTTGTTGTTGTTTTGGATAGGTGGAAAGTGTTTTTAGGACTCAGTAGCAGGTATATTTGCCTGTTACTTATAATCATTTATTGGCTGCAGGCATTAAGTGTGCTCTTTCATACTAGAGAACGCTATCTTCTATTTTAAAATAGGCTTATTTTTAAAAATTTTATGTGAATGGCCTCCCTATCCTGGCATATTGGGTTATTTAAAAAATTCTCTGGTGGTATGACAGTTAACCTAGCTATCATGTTGAAGAGAAGGAAAAACTTTTCCCATATATCATGCTCCATTCATGGGAGGTTTTTTGTTTTCTGTCAGTTACAGTTAAAAAAAAATTAATTATGGTTACATACTAGTTATACTTATGGGGTACACATAACATTTTGAAACAAGCATACAATGTAATAATTAAATCAGGATGTTTGGAGTATCTATCACCTGAAGCATGTATCATTTCTTTGTGTTAGGAACATTCCAATTCCACTATAGTTATTTGAAATATATAATAAATTATTTTTAACTATAGTTGCCCTATTGTGCTGTTGAACACTTAGAAAATAGAGGATATGGTTTAAAATAAAATCTCTTTCAAAACTTTTTCTAGTGAGTGGAATGGCAGATGATGAATGAAGCTACCAATAAAAACAAGACACAGGAGCCATCCCTCAGGATAGTTTCAGTGGGGCCTTCTAGAAGAGTAGATTGTCTGACCAACAAGAACCACTCATTTTGACCTCTAATTTAAAAACCAACAAGGGCCTCAGAATCCTCAGCTATATATTTTCCTCAGCCTTTTTAAGTGGAGTTTGAAGTTTTATTTGTAGCTTTCTCTTTTATTTTATCTTTTTTTTATGTTTTCACTTACCTTCAAGCTGGATACAGCAAATGCTTGGAGCAAGTAGTTCTCCAAGATACCTGGAAAAAATTACACTGAAAAATCTCTCAATGTTACTTAAGGATATACAACAGCAGTTATACTCTAAAACTTGATACATGTCCATAGGCTAGCTCAAGTTCATTTTATTACAGTTCCAGGCTTCCCTGGGGGAATCCCAAGAGAGTTAATTATAAGTATTGTTTTGTTGTTTTCTTGCTAAAAAGGCCCTCCTTTGGCAGGGCGTGGTGGCTCACACCTGTAATACTAGCACTTTGGGAGACCTAGGTGGGCAGATCACTGGAGGTCAGGAGTTCAAGACCAGCTTGGCCAACATGGTGAAACCCTGTCTGTACTAACAAACACAGATTAGCCAGGCAGGTGGTACATGCCTGTAATCCCAGCTACTCGGGAGTCTGAGGCATAAGAATTGCTTGAACCTGGGAGGCAGATGTTGCAGTGAGCAGATACTGCACCATTGCACTCCAGCCTACGTGACAGAGTGAGACTCCGTCTCAAAAAAGAAAATATAAATAAGTAAATATAAAGGCCCTACTTTGTAGTGGACAGAAGGATGGACTAGCTTCCACATCTGACAAGCACCAACTTCCATAAAAATAATGGAGAAACTTTGCTTTAAGAAAACTGAAAGGTGAGGATGCCAGGGTGCCACTGTTTTAGTGAGGTAGGTGGGATGCCTAAGAAAGTTCAGTTTCCCTGATTTGGGGGATTCACACAGAAGACAGGTGGCTACTTCCTGAAGAAGAAACCAGATTCTGCTGTCTCCTCTGCAGAGATCAGATAAATCCTTGGGTCCCTGTGGGTCCCTGTCCAAGAGGAGGACTCTTAAGCACAGGAGGTTGTGGTAGAAATTCCAGCCATGATTTACTCCCAGTAAGTATGGGAGTGAGAAGACAGGAGTCAGGCCCGTCATCTTTGAAAGACTCCAAATAGTCACGCCTATAATCCCAGCACTTCGGGAGGCTGAGGTAGGCACCAGATCAGGAGATTGAGACCATCCTGGCTAACACTGAAACTGCATCTGTACTAAAAATACAAAATATTAGCCAGGCATGGTGGCAAGCATCTGTAGTCCTAGCTACTCAGGAGGCTGAGGCAGGAGAATTGCTGAACTTGACAGGCGGAGGTTGCAGTGAGCCGAGATCACACCACTGCACTCCAGCCTGGGCAACAGAGTTAGGCTCTGTCTCAAAAAAAAAAAAAAAAAAAAAGACTTCAAATAGGACCGTGATTAAATGTGTCCAATGGTCAGTTGGACAGCAAGAGGCCCTGAGGTGAGGGCTGCAGGAGGGGCATCCCAGACAGCCAGGTCGGAACTACAAGGCAATGCTCGTAGGGCCATGGGAAGTCCCACAAGAAAAGAACCCAACATGCTCAAACGTAACTATTTATCATTTTTCTTTAGTCATTCTTTTCTAAGATTTAATTTGCTGTCTCTTCCTACCTCCAGCTCCGATGGATGTTAACTTTAATTTAACCATGTGCTATATCATTTATTTCGGCTATTTTGCATGGCTTTTAGCCATTCTCGTTGTTCCTTGTCTCAGTAACAATTTATTTCTAAGCAGTCAAGACTGTTTTGTCTTGGGTACTGAGTTTTGGAAGAGGTCCTGCTCTTTCAGGACCAGAGGAAAGAGAGTTCTCTTTTTCAGTGTTTACCTGCTAGTTCACCTCAGGGCTAGCACACACCTCCACTGTTCTTATTTCAGCAACCCTCCCCCACTACCTTCTTGAACTTCAGGAGGAGGAGCCACAGTTTTTCCCCTGAAAATGGGGGTTCCACCTAAATACTGCAAATCTTCAGAGTGTTTCCAATGACATCAATACAATTTTCCTAGCAATATTGATTTTCATTCACTTCGATTTCCTCACATTAGGCTATTTGGCACTTAGGTTGGCAGTGAGAAAATGTCACAAAACAAACTCATTGAATGTTGCAGGGCTTAAAGGAATAGGATATCCCTACCTTACAACTAGCAGGGTTGTCTAGTTAACCCCACCAACGTAGGCATCCTGGCTTTCCCTGCATACTCATCTCACACCTCGGACTTCTGTCAGCCTTCTATGGAGACTAGCAGTAGCTATAACATAGCTCCACTTTCTGTTTCTGCCAGTGTCACTTAGGTAGGTCTGTATTGCCACCATCCCAAATTTTTTCTTGCTCACCACACTTTATTTTTTAAACACTGAGTGCTTAAAACATTCAAGGCACCAAACTAAGCATTTTAGCTGGGTTATTTTACTTCATTCTTACTATAACTCTGTGAAATAGGCACTATTATTACCCTCAATTTATAGATCAGTATACTAAGGCACAAAGATTAAATAACATGCCCAGAACTCCACAGTCAGGATTGGAATCCAAGTAGGATGATGGCAAAGCACATCCACAGTCTTAGTCACTCTAATGTGTTGCCTTCTCTATCAAGTTGCTTCCTCATCTCTTAATTTGTAGGGTCTCCCTGACTTTGACTTTGCCTCACCCAAGGATGTATATAGCTCAGTGTCAAAGCCAATGTTACCTTGAGCAAAGGAGGATTCTTCTGCATAGCTCAAAAGCCACAGTTCCTGCTTCAGAGGTTGATTCATGAATGAATCCACATTTTCATTTCCCCCTCCCCTTTCATGGGGGAATGACTTACTCAGAGCAGGTCTGAAGGAAGCTGGCAGATGGCCCTACTAGGCCTCTCTCCACTGCTCTCGCTTAAAGTAAGCACAGCCCCGAGTACTATTCCTACCTCTTCCCCCTTACCACAATGACCTGATCAAAGGGTTCTGTGAATGAGGCTCTTGAATTCTGTCTACTTGAGTTGTTGATTTCCTTCCTATGCCCAGATTCTATCCTACAGCAGATACCCTTTCTTAGAGCCAACCTCCTATCTTAGCCCATGTGGCTTCAGATACAAGTTCAACAACAACGGTCAGGAGATAGTCTCTAGGAGAGGATCTGGGTCTGCCCAGATTTTCAAAACCTCACTGTTCACAATTGGTGCAGCAATTGGATTAGCCAGAGAAAGCTATGTAGTTTTCAGCTCAGTTTTGCTTGGACTTTTAAGTTTCTGGAAGCATTTTCCTGCACCCTATAAAATGCTGTTTCCCAGATGTTTCCTGACCTCAAGGAGAGGTCCAGAGTCTGTAATTCTCCAGGGGCTTCTTCCAAAAATAAAATCTCAAGTTCCTTGGGACCTTGGGGTGGTTTCAAGGGCTATGGCATCTGTTGGAACTCCTGTCTGAAAAGGAAAGATCACAATTTGAACTTGGACTCCTCATGGTTTTTGGTATCCTCTAAAGCAATGGTTCTCAAAGCATGGCCCCTGGACCAAGAACATTAGCATCCCCTTACATTCTTGGGTCCCACTCCAAACTTACTGAATTAGAACCGCTAGGGCTGGGCCCCAGCATCCCTGTTCTAACAAGCCCTCCAGGTGATTCTGAAGCACACTAAAGTGTGAGCATCACTGCTCTCTAAAGCAAAGGTTCTTTATCTCTTTTGGAGTCTCAGGTTTCAGAATCTGATGAAAGCTTGAGGCTGTCTTCAGTGCATTACAGATCCCCAAAGGTCCAAGTTCAGAATCCTTGCTGTGGGGCATAGAGCTTGTCCATCCATCTCTGGCTTCCACCTGCTCTAGTACCACAAGGAGGCATGGCCACATACTCCCTGTTTCTCCTTTCATCTGTGTACTGTTGGATGTCACTGAGGGTGTGCATTCCCTGCACCAGACAGCACAGGGATAAGGGCATACTACTCCTTGTATGTGCTGCAACCATAGCCCATGTGCTCTGAGCAAAACCCAGATGCTCAGGCATGGGGTGCCAGGTTAGGAATCCAGGACCAAATAGAAAAGTGATTCCTCCTGGAGCTAGGAGCTGTGTGTCAGATCACAACTGCTAAAACTGCTGAACTTCCTGTGACAGTCCTAGCTGGGCTATGTTGACCACAGCCAGAGCTTTGTCATTGGCCAGTTTTGGTCTCCCAACAGAACTCCCAAGTCAGGGCACAAACTTTTATTTTCTAGATAAAGGCATCTCAAATTGTACC